GAGAGACACGGAGTTTGAAGGATGGCAGCAATGGGTTGAGCACTTCTTGGGATGTCCCTAGCGGCGATTGAGGCCGGAGAAAAAGCAGCAAAGCGATGGGGTGTCCACGAGGTGGCTTCATCGGCAGATTTCAGGAGTGCCCACCTAACGTGAGACGCCTGCACCGTGACATGCTACCGCCAGGCCTACGCCCGCGCACATGTTTGGTACGGTTTCTTTCACGATGGCACCGGAGACACGGTAGCGTAGTAAATTGACGCCGACCCTTTAGAAGCGGTGTTTATTCATTTAACGCCGAGATAGGGCCGTGGGCTGAATCGGCGACGCCCACGGCCCAAACGCCGGCGTGGCTCGACTCAACGCGCCTCGTGTTCAAACTCGGCGTGAACCGACTCGGTAGTGAGCTGAAGCCCAAACTGGTGGGCGGTCGAGGCCAAACCCTAGGGTCGGCGATGGGCCGACTCAGCGCCATTTTCTTTACCTCGGCGTGGGGTGACTCGGACGCCCATTCTTTTTTTCTTTTTTTGTTCTACTTCTTTTCCTTTTCTTTTGATTATTCTTTTTCGGTACTCTTTTATTATTTCTTTTATTCTCATTTGTAATGTTCGATTTCAATCCCCTATTCTTAGAGAGAGTCAAATCTTTTTTTGAGTTTCGGAATCAACCATAGTACATGAAACTTAGAGATAGGTAAACTACAATTTATGAAATAGCGAATGCACTACGATTACACTCACATGAAAACTAACAATGGCATGTCACAAACTAAACCTACCAGGCCTTAGGGATTGAAAGAAACAAGTGATACAGACGTTACAAAGGTACTACGATTACACACTCATATGAAAACTAACAATGGCATGTTGCAAACTAGACCTAGCATGCCTTAGGGGTTTGAGAAGAACAACTCATACAAGCATTCCACATTCGAATTGACTAACAAACAAAGGTTGATCCTAATAACGGTCCCACATATTGAACTGAGTTGCGCCTTCCCCACAGTATCCCCCAAATGATGGAGGCGGTGGCGGTGGCGGTGGCGGTGGCGGTGGAGAAGGAGGCCCGTGCTTCTTATGGTATGCAGAACGGCTTTGGCGATCGGATTATTGCATAGTGCCTCCTCTGCATCATTGCTTTGTTGTCGTCGTCCGACTTGTCCTCATTACCACTTCGAGCCATACTCTAGGTCAAAGATGCGTCCCCTCAGAGATATGTGATGTCTTTGTTGATGGGGATAGATAGGAGGAGGTCGACCATCTAGTGAAGCCACAGATTATACGGACAGCTTGAATCACGAAAACCCATCTACCAATAAGTACTACTACAAACCAAATGCAAATCTAAAAAAGAAGATAGTTCAAAGGAAATACAAATCCTCATGAGCATACGAGAAGAAGCGGCCTCCCTCCACCCACACAGTCATTGTACATCTGCACAACACAATCCAAACCGTGGCGACATTTTGGCCAATCTTCAATGCGCTTGTCGTATGATCTAAGAGGTCTCTCACGAGTGAAGTCACTCTTCCTCTCCAAACGAAATTCCTCTATTGGTTCTTCAAAAGAATCAGGAACCAGAGAACCCTCCCACACAATTGGAGGTCCTTCTCTCACCCCTTTCCTCTCCCTCCATGAAACCCTTTCCACTCGAGGAACCTCCGCTCGACATTTGCTAAAACTAAACCAAAAAACAAGTTGTGTGGATGTGGAGCAAGACATATAGCACTATATATAGAGATGAAGGCAGGTTCACCATGAATGCTACTTGACAAAAAACTTGTGTGCATACTTATTTATTGAATCTGCAAATGCTAGATGCTTCATCTGAAAAGCCTACAACCATGACTGGTCATTTCATCTTAAAAGGCTACACCTGTGTTTTGTCATATCATCTAAATGCAATACATCACTCTGATATTAATTCATTGCGTATACGGATACAACGGTAAACGAATCTAGGCTTTTCAGCGAGTTTTCAAATAAACTTTTCATTGACTGCAACACTACTTGTAGCCCTTTCAGTGACTGCAACAGCACAAGTAGCCTTTTTAGTGATACAAACAGTAGCACTACAGTCCTAAGATAGTTAACGAAGTATAGGGCATAAGACCATCTGAAATAAAAGCATAGTACATTACAACATAATAAAAAAAGTCCAGGGAATAAGTTCATCTGAAATAAAAGCAGAGTTCATTACAACATAGTAAAAAAAGTTCATCAGAATGGAGGGAGGAAGAAGAAGGGGGCCTCGGCGCGGCCTCAAGGGACCAGACCTCGGCGTTGAGTCAGGCCGCGGCGAGTTCTGGTGTGTCGGCGTTAAGTGACCCCGCGCCGAGCTACTATGCCACGATGCGTTGTTGGGCCGCCTGGGCCGCGCGCTGGATGATGCCCATAGCTCGGCGCTCAGTCCAGCCGCGCCGAGGTTGGGCCCGTGGCATGTGCTGACAGGACGCCGACATCTCGGACCCCATGCGCCACCGTGTAGCCGTCGACCGGGATCGTCCGTGACGTGGCAATACCTCGGCGTCATGTCAGTCGACGCCGACCCTCATACCTCGGCGTCATGTTCTAAGACGCCTAAAAATGGTTTATTTTTAGAAAACGTTTTGGCGTAGGTCTTCTTGTAAAAAATATTTTCAAAAGGGACTAAAATACAAAAAATTCACTCTGGATGGGATGGTGACAATCAACAATTCAGCACCTCGTCAAAAAAAAAGGAGAAAGAGAAGAAAGAAACAAAAATAAGACATGACCATGCCGATCACTGAACAGCAAACGCAATTGATGCGAAGCATCGCACCTCCGGGCTCCAGTCCTCCAACATGGGCTGTTTGGAACATGAGAAATATTTTCTGTTTGTGCGTATTTTCTGTAAAACTGAATTGATTCATGTAAAATTTCTGCACAATTTCCATAAAATTCCTGCGTTCCAAACAGACTCTTAATTAGAGAAAAAGTCTACATAGCCCCCCAAACTATTCAGGCTGAACTAAAACTGGATTTTCTCCCCACGAACTTTTCAAAACCGGTGAAATAACCTCCCAAACGGTTTTGGATGGTGGTTTGCTACAGTGATGATGGTTTTATTTTTTCCCTTTTCATTTATTTCTGTAGAATCTTTGAAAAATCATAGTAAATCAAAGAAATATCATATAATAGAAAATCTAATTTTGTTGGACTCCACATGAGTAGATCTACACAGTGAACATATAATATGGTATACTTTAGTATAAAGTTTTTGCTATAACTTTAGATCTATGTTTTTCTATAATTAATTATAATAATTCATAGCTGCAGCTTCTATGGTCCAATTATGGTGAAATTTTTATGGTGGGATAATTATTATATGCTTGAACTATAATAAAAATTTCATACTCATTGGATCATGTATAACTTAGTTATAGATAAAACATAGATTTAACAAGCATAAATTTAAATAAATCTATAACTAAGTTATACATGATTTAATGAGTATGAAATTTTTACTACGGTTCAAGCATACAATAATTAGCCTACCATAAAATTTTCACCACAATTGGAGCATTAAAGTTGCAGCTATGAATTATTCCAATTAATTAATAAAAAGCATAGATCTAAAGCTACGACAAAAAATTTATATTAAAGCATACCATATTATATGTTTACTGTGTAGATCTACTCACGTGGAGTCCAACAAAATTGGATTTCCATTTTATAATTTTTTCTATGATTTACTACGATTTTTCAAATATTTAGCGAAAATAAATAAAAAAGATAAAGATAAAAACACCGTCACTTTAGCAAAACCACCGTCCAAAACTGCTTGGGGGTTATTTGACTGGTTTTGAAAAGTTTAGGGGTAGAAAATCCATTTTTATAGTTTGTGGCGTGAAATAGTCCACCCTAGATAGTTTGAGGTTACGTAGACTTTTTCCTTGCAGACATTGCTCTGTCTCGATCAGTAACTGCCTATCACTGAACAGCGAACGCAATTGATGCGATGCTAATAATTTAGCCTGGCTAAATACAGGCGCCATATCATATATGTATAGTAAGCAATATAGTCCATTCAGTGGCGGAATCAGCAAAATGAGAAAGGGGGGGCGGTCTAGCCAGACAAATACGAGGACCGGCAAAGTGTATATATATAATATAAATATTCATATAATCATAACGTTTATAGTGATAACACATAGAAGGACTCTTTAAGAAAAGTGGACAAAAGAAACTTACCTCTTTTTCATTTGAGCCTCACTTTGCGCGTATTCATGACATAGAAATCATCTATAATGGCATCCGTTGTGAATTGTACCATACCAACTTCATCTAATTGAGGACAAACAACAGGAGAATTATTTTGCTCCCGTCCATCGCCATCTCTATCTACCTTTTTGAAAAAAAGAATCAATTGTCCTCTTAGGGCGTATTATTTCATACCTAAATTAGCATGAGCATACAATGATACAAAGGCCCCGTTCAGTTAGCTGGTTTTTTGGCTGGTGTTGAAAATGGAACAGTGAGAACCATCAGCCAAAAGCAGCAGCATCAGCCAACCTTCAACTGACTGCTGGCATGTTCGACTGGCCAGCTTTGGCCGGCTGGTTGGCTATAGTTTCCAGCCAGAGTTTTTTTTTCTCACAAAACATCATCATGAACAGTATTTTCAGCGTGAACAGTAGACATTTAAGTCCAGCCGAACACGCTATGCAGCAGCAACCAATTCAATTCAAAAAAATGGCCCCACACTAGCATTAAATGCAATTCGAATTCAAAATCAAACACCACCAGCTGATGGCTGATTCTGCTACATATCAATAAAACAGTTAAGTAAAGCACCAGTCCAATACAATTAGTTTAAGGTCCCAACTTTACAAGTAGTTTGCTGTCCTTACATCATTCAAATGGCATTATTGGGCACTTTTACTGAAGATGGAAACTTTACAAGTAGTTTGCTGTCCTTACATCATTCATCGTCACTGTGCTCTATGGTCCAGCAGCATGCATAGATTCTATAGATTCACATTATTCTTCCTGTGATAAGACATAAAACAATTTTAAAGACTAAAGAAACAGTTTGCAATAGTTTCCACAGGTACGTATCCAAGTATCGAATAACTCAAGAGTCTGAACATTTGATGTACCTGTACAGGTGTTGCAGCTATGAGAGGTCCAACTGCAACGCCACCGACAACAGAACAATCACCACAAGCAAGCGTCACAGATAAGCACCCAAATCCAGGGCTATCAGATGTCAAAATGGATCCAAACACATGAATAATTTCTAAAGGCCCCTGCAAAGATTAGAAATCAATGAACAATGTTTAAAAACTTTGGGCACGTGACCTTTTTTAAGAGAGCAAATGTTTAAACCTTGTGATTTAAGATGACAACAGAGTGGAGTAGATAGCAATCCTGAATGGCCCCAAAGGTTACTGACACTATCATTATGTTCCTCAAGTTATGTAAGTTTGTGTCTAGAATGTACTTGAGCTGCAACTTAGAAGACAAAGGCATTGCCATTTGCACGACCACAAGTAAAAGCAAGACTCGCTAAGGAGTCCCAAGGAGTCCAAGTCCATATGTTATCCAGTCACGGACCTGTTCCATATCATTAGAATCTCCCAACGCCATAGCTGCCACTTGATTCAAAGGGCCAAGCACTACTACACAAATGATTTTGCGTGACACCCCAAAAACATAACCGTGGCGGACAAAATGGATGTCCGCCACGGTTAATGCCCGCGATTTACCGTGGCGGGCATTTTTTATTTACCGCGGCGTGCACTTTTGCCCTAGATTTGGGTATGTCCGCCACGGAAAATATGGTATTTTCTGAGGCGGACGTATAAGGACGTCCGCCACGGACCGTGGCGGACGTCCTATGAGGCCTGCCTCGATTAAGGCCGAGGCCCATATGGCCCAGTGAAAGCCCAACATCAAGTCTGAGTATAAAACCCAACACTTAGGTTTTGGCTCCCCGCCCCCCCCCCCCAAGGCCACACACCCGCTCTTGGCGAGGCCACTACCAGCGCGCGCTCCTCCCCCCCTCTCTCTAGTCTCTCCCCTGGCGCTGCGCCTGCAGCAGGCGGGCGAGCCCTCCCCCCCTCCGCATGGCGCGCCCCTTGCCTCCCTCCGCCGACACTTCGTCTCCATGGTGGCAAGGTGGCCGTGGTGGTGCAAGGGCGGCTGGATCTTGTGGAGGGCTGCCAAATCCAGGAGGATGGCAGCTGGATCCGGCGGATCCTGGCCAGATTCGGTGGAGGGCAACGAGGGCGCGAGGCGGCTCCCCCCGGCGACGCGGGCGCGAGGCAGCTCCCCCGGGCGTGGGGCAACGCAGGCGCGAGGTGGCTCCCCCTGGTGTGAGGCGGCCCTCTTCCTCAACTTCGACCGGCGTGCGCCCCTCCTTGCGGCGGCGGTGGCCCGCTCCCCGCCACCACACCTCCAAATGCGGCGGCAGGCGGGCGGATCCGTCGGTGGCGAGCTCGTGGAGGCCGGATTTGGCGGCGGCTGGATCCGTGGATCTGGCGGCGGCGGCGACCTCCACCATGGCGGCGCGATCCAGATCCAGCCGAGCCCATATCTAGGCCCGGTGTGGGTTTTTTTCTTTTTTTTGTTTATTTTCACCAATTAACCACGGCGGGCATATCTCGCCTGCCGCGGTTAATCTCCCATTTACCGTGGCCTCTGGACCGCGGCGGACGGCTTTGCCTGCCGCGCAAAACCTAAAACACCCGCCGCGGATAAGATTTGTGTAGTAGTGAAGGTCCGGCGCCTGCCTGAACCGCACTGGTTGGTGCTGACCCTCCAGCTCATGCACGTAATTGTGCAGTGTACAAAGAGCAATAATTATCTAGGTTTGCTTGGTCCCTGGATAGTGAGGTATGTCTTTCAACATCTGCCACTTAGCTTTCGCTGCCCCAAATGTTCTTTCTATGACATTACGCAACTTGAAATGGTGCCGGTTGAACAACTCCTGCGCATCACAAGCCCCCCTAGTCTGGAACTCCTTCACCCAGTACCTCTTATTTGGATACGGCGTCAGATACCTGGGGTGAAGTGCGTAACCGGAGTCCACCAAGTAATAGTGGCCTGCATAAATTCATAGCAAGACATCAGTTCATATTCAATTAGCTCCAGCATGAAACCTTTGCATCAATACAACAACCAAACGGACTAAGTTCAACTAACCTGATGGTGGACGTGGGAAAGGGGCATCGTCTTCTGCCTTTCTTTTCACCCTCATATCATGAGTTGAACCCTCTGTCCTCGCCCTGATATACATGAACCTCATGTCGAGGTCACAGACAACAACCACATTTTGGGTTGGCTTCCCTTTCCTATTAATGTGGTTATCACGGACTCCTTGATCAACTATCACATCTATGTGAGTGTCATCCATGGCGCCTATGCAGCCATAAAAAACGACGTGTACTCCAACAATTCAGCCGGCAGTACTGAATAAGTAGTGTCCCTAGGCCTAATCACGTCATCTGCAAATCTAGTCATGGCTACCAAAACATGGGAAAATACCTTGCTACATGTCCCCAACCCCCTCCCAAACCTCTCATGCATTTGCCTCTGGCATTGATTTGTACCACATGTCCATAGAAACATGGCTAAAGCTTCAATTGATTCAAGCTCCCTACTGCCTTTTAGCCCATAGCTATCACGTAGTATGCTATGCAACCTAACCAAATTTGCAGGCCGCATTCGACAGTTTTCAAAGCACCTACCAGCATCTGACAACAGCTTATCTACCCATTGTCTTCCGGTAAGCTCAGGCACTGAGACAACATGGTTGCCTTGTGGTGGTACCTACAGCATGTGTGCAAATGCATAGCCTGCAGCCATAGCTGCAATAACCATCTCGTTGAAGCTGTTTTCACTTGAATTATGACTTTCCTCGTCGCTGTTGTCCATGTTCCAACAGGCTGCCAAGGAAAAATATAAACCATCGTTGGTAAGTAAATTCCAACAGCATATGTGATGTTATTAAACTATAACTGTATAAAACTATAACTGTCAACCTTACTGTCATTGTCGTAAGAAAGAAAAGTGGGATCTGGATGTTGCTAAAATCTGAAGTCGCAGTTCACCTCCCATTAAATTAAATGTGTAATAGTGGATATGGCAATCAGTAAATGAATGGAGCAGCTAATCAAATTGCCGATCCAACATTGCATATTCTGACCTTCTTAGTGACAATACCCTTTATAGAAGACCACTATATGCATGGAAGTAAGCACTTCTAGAATCTAGAACCTAGGAATTTCACCGAAAACACTACAATCCCTGCAGGAACATGGAATTTCCTTTCTCCTGCCTAAATCTTGCAGTCTAATTAGCACAACTCTTAAGGCTGTTGAAAATTGTGGTATATCTTAAGTCCACAGCAAATTATCTTTTCCTAGTTGACCTTTAATAATCAATCAATGTATATATAGTACCATACCAGTTCTATTAAGCATGATGATGGTGTTTTTGTTCTTTCTTATTGTTTACACCCAGAATTTGGAAGAAGGATCTCAGAAGCTTGAGAGCTCCTAAAATCATGTCAGTAAGGGATCAATCGTGTGCAGATCGAAACTAGCTGATTCAGATGCAGCACTAGAATCGGCTTTCTTCATATAGCGCCAGCGGACAATGATAGAGGCTATAATCGGCGCTGGGACGAGACATGCTGGACTCTACAAAAAGGGAAAGATTAGAGTCAAAGTTATCTTAAATTAGGAATATTTTCATTTTATGTGAAAGATTGTAACAAATCGTGCTCGAGTTGAATTCATGTTTAGACTCCGGGTATAAATATCAAACCCCGACTATTGTAAAAATAACACAATCAATCAAATACAAGTCAATTACTTTTTTTAGCTCCGGCCACCCCTTAGGAGTAGGAGTAGAGTAGATCTTGGTGAGTTCTTCAGCGAGTACGGCTGCATCGATCCGGTCGACCTCCACTGCTTGTCTGTAAGTACCGTCATGGTTTATACCTCTATTCGTATGGCTGCATCAATCCGGTCGACCCCCATTGCGGCTCTGGTATAGGCTAGTTATCGACTCTTGCCTAGTTCAAGTATGGCATGTGTGATTCTGCCTCACACCCCACTGCTTGAACTAGATCAAGGTCAAGTTATCGGCTCTACCTTAGGATGGCAGTCTTTGGTAGATTCATTAAGTTACCGATATTGCTTATTGCTTTCATTGTTTATTTAATTACAACAATATCACTCTACTCGATTGAGATTGATCTGGATCGGCCTTATATCTTATTTAACCCATCATTTGCTAATCTAAAATTGATCTAATCTACAGCTTAAACGATGAGTTATGTTTTATCGGCTATTTTATATCGATCTTAATCGTGCATAGCGTGCGGTTAAGGCATGTTCGATCTTGAGTAGATCTATTGGTTAACGAGAACTATTTCATGGCCCATTATCATGGCCTGTGGGATTCTGCCTCTCACCCCACTATTAGCACCGTGGAGTGGAGATCGTTAGTTGGTAGATCCGTTCCTAAGAAGGCATGACCTTAACTGCGCGCTATGCCTGAATCGGCTGTTTAGCCGATTTCGAGCGCTTTCACGAACAGTTCACATTACGAGATCATTGAAGTAGAGATAAGTCAAAAGATATGTTAGCCCCATGATCTTGTTATTGTATTATGGCCTGCATGATTCTGCCTCATGCCCCACTGATATTAGTAATGAGTTAGGGTCATCGAGTCTATTATTGTTTCTACGGCCTGCATGATTCTGCCTCATGCCCCACTGGTTATGGCGATAGATGAGATCTAACATGTTCATTAGGTTTATCTTTATTAAATGGTTAAGTGGTGTTGAATTGTTTCTTTATATAAAAAGAGGTTCGGTTACCTATAATCATTGGCTTAGTATAAACCGATTATCATTGATATCTTATTGCCATTGATTAATATTTGCTCAAATAATATTTATCCTGGATGATAACCGATTCTTCTTATATAACCCCATGAGCTTTAATCGATTCATTCTTATGAATATGCTGGAATCGACTATTTAGTCGATCTCCTCTCATATCGGCTCTCAGAGCCGCACATTCGGGACTGTCTAGCAACACCGGCACGTTCCGCCCTTAATTACTGATAAACTTTCTCTCCTTGTCAATTATAGGGTCAAATTGACTGGCACGTCTCGGGAGGATTGCGCAGGATCGACCACCGTTGCGCTGAAGCTAGGTGGATCTGCTCTATCGAGCGGACCCTTTCGGCTTGCTGCGTGTGTCCTCGGCATAGAGACAAAAATTTCGTGTCGACACATGTTTCTGGCATGCTCGGTGGGACACCACAATCATCATGGCGGTTCACAACAACGACAACATCCTTATGGTACATTATGAAGACCTACCTGATGAAGATAAGGATACCATCAACAAAGCTACAGAAGAATTTCAGAAGAAGTGTTTGTTGTCCTACACCAAAACACGTGACATCACAATTATTCAGAAATTTCCACTACCAAGAGTTCTACTACACGGACAGACAGATACAGTCAAAGCTGAAGACAGGCGTTTATTTACGGAAGCCATAGACAAATCTATTCATGATGCCCTATCAAGCCGCAATGAAGCTTTCGTTGACGCATTTCACAATGC